TTTCCTTTTTGAGAACAGCTCCCTTTCAGCGCAGACATGGCACGAATTGTGCACAAATACAACCTTTGGAGCAGCATGTAGCATGGTTTTCGTTCTGACGCAGTTTGGCGAAAATGGCGCAACCGTTCCACCACTGCATGTGGTACGAGTAATGAAAACTGTAAAAAAGCCTTCAACCTAATTCAAGGTTAAGGAAGCAGAGTTTAGCACAGTAAGCTCTCACTTAAGCGAACGTCGGTTGAACAAATATTTTAGAATAACAAACTTTAAAATAATCCCCAAGCATTTTCCTATGCATTCGATGCAAAAATGTTTCAGTTAAAGGAATTAACGAATTTCGGAAAAGCTCATATTTCAGCCCAACAAACTTTATCGGTGGACCAAGGATTATTTTTGCAATCAGTTCAACGAAGTTTTGTGCTCTGCAGTGCTGGTGTATCAGCACTGCACTGTATCATCGCTGGCGTTTACAACACTGCCGAGGCAAAGTGGCGGTGCGGTAGACGAAAACGAACCATGTGGTGCGTCTGTTCTTCTTTGTCATTGGTTCCGTTCGGCCATCTTAGCTTTGGGTAACAACGGCAGGACGGCAGTTCGTGTGCCCACTTTCATAATCAGTACAACGAAGTGAAAGCAATTGCCTCTATCAGACAAGCTCAAAATCCTTCAGTGTCTGGACAACGGTCAAAGGGAAGTAGACGTTGCGAAGGACTATAGGATACCCATGAACATTGTAAACGATAGTGAAGCAAAAGTTGAAGCTTGAAAGAGAAACTGCATTCAATCCCAACAGGAAACGACTCTGCACAAGATATTTCGAGCCAGTGGATGATGCCCTGCAGGTATGGCATTGTCACAGCAACAAGCTGTGACAGAGGAAGTGCAAAAAAAAAAACATAGAGTATCTGGACTGCTTTGTTACTTCTTGCAATTTAAGAGTGCCAATGCAAATGAAAATTAAGTTGTTTTTTTTCTTCAAGATGAGAAAGTCAGCAACGTAGCTGTTATGCACTTTGTATATATTGATGTATGTGACTCCATAAATTGCATCTCACACTTTTGACTCGATGTATGCTGTACCCTATGCTGTTCCATATTCTAGTAAATATATTCAGTTTCTTTCAGTTAAGTGAACTATTTCCTTGGAGTTCACTCAAGTGAAGTTGTACTGTATTTAGCAACGCATCATCAAAGCCAAATGTTGACTGCCACATTTGTCGCATCCATTGAAACGCTGAAAATATTATTTGAGTGCTTTCAAAGAAGAAATAAAAAACAATTCACCACAGCAATAGCCAGGAACACCGCATACGGAACAAAAAGCAGCATACCGTATTTACTCTAGTAATAGCCGCACTATTTATGAATAAGGACCTTGCGCTTACTTTCCCACAGAACACATATACAGCCAATAATTGCATTGCGCATAAATAACATAGCGAATAACCAGATACAGAACACGATTCTCCATACAAATGCAATCGTCACAGATGGTATCTTCGCACAAAAACATTATCTCTGTCCTGTAAACAGCTGGAATCATGATTGGTGATCGGTGATTGGCAATCTTTGTGCTCTGCGGAAAAGCGAACCCTCACGTTTTCTTCATAAACAGTGCGACTCTCATTCGAGTAAATACAGTAAATGCCGTGGCATAGCAACATTGGGTCACGTCCAGCTGAAAAATGGTTGTGTCAATTTAACACTACGTATTCTTCTTCTACTTCTAATGCTTCACCCCTGTGTGCAAGAGTTGACTAGTCCATGAGAGTTGTAACAGACTATAGTCCGTTGCAACTCAAGAGCAGGAGACGGAACCCTCCCCTCTTTCCACATTGCCACAGCAAACGCTGGGGTCTGCTCTCCTCCTCCCTACCATTCACTGTACTAATAAGAAAGGGCTCCGTCTCCTGGTGTTGTGTTGCAATGGAATATAAAGCGCCCCATGCCAGATATCAGCGGCTCTGTCGGCATTCACATTGTCAGAGGCTGAAGTGTCTCAAATTGCACATGTCCATGGAAACATGTTGGGAATTATCAAGAAAGAATTGTGAGCAGCTAAAACATTACGTTGGTGCACTCCATGCCGTTGTCTGGCTCCGTGGCTTCATCAATGTCCTCGACCTCGGTGGAGTAGGCCTCCATGAGCAGGTCTGCGCACGTAAAAAACAAAGCATGAGTGTCGCTGTAACCGATAACTCCGGCAGAGTGATTAGGGGACAAGCCGCCCCTCACCTGTATAGTGCAGAAGAAATAAAAGGTTTTGCACGCATGTGATATATTTTCTGTCAGACACATAGCACATTTTTAAACCATCCTGATGGTATTTTTAATGACCTGAAATTATATGGTGCTTTTGACATAAAGATGTGTTATGAATGCAGGCATTGCCCCCTTTATGTTCATAACCAATGCAATGAACTGGATAGGGGGTTAGGTGCATAATGGGTATCACTGCACGTACATAATGCAAATATCAATAGTCGCACCAAGAACAACTGATTTATTTATTCTTTTTATTTATTTATTATACCCTCAGGGCCGAAGCATTACAGTGGGGGTGGGCAACGGAAGTACAAAAACGCTAAAAATGGTTAGTCCGGCACAGATCATGAATAGTAACTTGTTAGTGCTTCTTTAAAGAGAACAAAATCGCCAATGGTCGCAATGGGTGAGGGAAGGCCGTTCCATTCACGAGATGTTTTTGGGATGAAAGATTTGAAAAAATATTTGAGATGGAAGTGGGTATACCAACTTTGCAGCAGTGATCGAGGCGAGATGATACGTATATGGGGGCACTGATTAGTTGCTCTTTCGAGAGTGAATTGGCATAGTAAATTTTATGAAATAAACAGAGACGGGAGATAGTGCGACAAGTGGAGAGATAGTGCGACAAGTGGAAAGAAGGGGCAGTGAGAGACTAGCTTTCATGGATGTGACGCTTGATGTACGATGGTAGTTTGATAATATAAACCATGCTGACCGCTTTTGGATGGCTTCGAGCGCTAATATGAGGCTTTCTGCACCGGGATCCCAGACCGAGCATGCATATTCAAGCTTTGGTCGCACCAGTGTTTTATAAAGTAGTAATTTTAACGATGATGGAGCTAGAGAAAAGTTACGTCTTAAATATCCAAGCATGCAGTTACTGTTATTAACAATATATTTGTTGTACAAAAAGTTAGGAACTCATTTAGAACTATTTAAATTTCACAAATGACATCATGGAAGTCCTGAAACAGTTTCATCATTTAGCCACCATGTCACTAGACTGCAGAGGTTTTATGAAGCACAGCTTCTCAGCTAAGAAAAGCTCGTCATTTTTAATATGTAAGGAAACTTGCCTCTGGGGGTAACCCTGGCCCCGGTTGGCTGAGCCGCAGGGCCAGCAGCAGCTGATGACGACGGCCCACTCGTACTGGCGGGCGCTTTGGGTCTGGTAAAAGAAACCGAAAATGTGAAGCATTCATACTAAGAATCAGATGCACTGGTTACAGTAAAAGATCTAGCATAATACCGTCGGTGCTGGATCTGGCCCTGCAAAAAACTGAGCAGCTTGTAGAGGGGCCATGTCGGCTCCCTCTCATCATCTCTTCCAGCTCCACTCCGGCTGCTGGTTTTTTTTTTTGAGTTCGCGGGCGAACTTGGCACGTAGTGCCCGCCATGCCTGAATGCAGGCGTCCGAGTCTCTGCCTGCAATGGAGAAAGCAAATGCTGAGAAAAAGGAATGTCATTTTTTGGCAGGAAATAGTCATTGTATGATAGCAATCCTAATTAAACTAGGTTTCACATACGTTGTGAAGCTTAGTACCGACGTACTGTGTCCACCATGCTGATATCTGATTTACTGGAAGCGTTTACTTCACTCTGCGAATTTTAAAACACAAATGGTACTCCGAATCCTAATCTACTTGTAACTACCACCGCTGCAATAAGCAAAATTATGTCTGAAGTGGTTCGATCTGCCTACATGCTTTCTCGTCACGTCTGGACGCCAAGCAGAAGTTGATGCATCCAGAATAGCGACTGACAGCGCGAATGCCGCATCATCAGTTGCTTGCCGAAAAATAACTTGCGGCTGATGATTGAGTGTTCGCTAGATTTGCACGCTCGTGCGTTTGTTTTTCCTCGGCGTGTGCTCTCATTGTTTACCCGACGAGTACTTTTACCCGCGTTTTCTTCAAGGAATGGTAGTGTGTGCATGCGATTTCTTCTTTTTTAACGAGTTTGTAAAAACGGAACGCATATTGGTATACTTGCACGCCGCATTTATTTATTGCTTTTCTTCGGGGTGGAGGGTCATAAAAACCCAGGACACATTACATAATGAGAATCTGCCGACGGCGAGCAGCACTCTGCGAGCACGAACGGGCCGCGGCCGACGGCCCCGCGCGAGCTCGTCCGAGTCTCGACAATACGCCGCTCGGACAAACACAGTGAATCGGGATACAGATAAGCAGTACGGTGGGTCAATATGACCTTTTAACATGTCACAGGCAATATTAAAGCGCCGAAAAATCGAGGACACGGGGAAAAACGCAACTGTTTGCTTCCTGTCTCCGTCCTTTTGGCGCTTTGAAACCGGCGTTCTGTACTGAGACAGTACTCACCGACAGCGATTCCAATGGCGTGCCAGGAGTTGGCACGCTTAACTGCGTCCTTGTAGTCCAGGCGGCGGGCGTTCCACAGCCACGGGTACCTTTCTACTTCATTGATGAGGTCCCCCTCGGAGCAGACCTCACCCGCGTACCTCGCCTCCGCCGCCATCTTGTCAGAACGATGCGACGAGGCGGGCACGTCGTGATTGGTCGGTTGTTTTGGTTGTTTCGAACGCATCGGGGAAAGTTGGGCTCGCTCCAACTCCTTGCGTCGCGAACGACACGCGCGTGCGTCCCTCCGTCGCTATGGCAACTGACGGTTGCAGACCCTTGGAACGGTCGTTTCGGTTGTTCCGGTCGTTCCGGTCGCTACGGACGCATGTGTGTGAACGGGCCTTAAGGCTTGAGACCGTACAGCCGTCGGGTAAACCTCGGCAGCGTGCAGGTAGCCCACATTGTAAGCCATTGTCAGGGCCATTCGGGCAAGCATAAATACCAGGGTCTCGACAGTGGTTGCACCTGCACAGTAGAAGGTTTGGTTGCTTGTTGAAAAACAAACTAAAGTTGTTGGAACGGTGAAACATTAACCAAACTGAAGGGAAAGTGGAAGGAAAATGGGAAGTGCGGGTGCAACTCTGGAAGGTAAAGGCAAGTTCAAACAAGGAAGCAATAAAGCAGGGGTTTCAGGAGGTAGATACTGGACAGTGGAAAACACTGTCACAGGAAAAAAAAGGGGGCATCGTGTTTAGATTAGATATATTATCGAAGGTGATAATGAACTTATGTCCAGAAAACAAAACTTGTATCAAAACGTATCCTTTTTTTTTTTTTTACAAGTTGGCATTATCAGTAATATGGAGCTGTAGTCACTGACAATGTGAGAACGGCAGGCAGGCGCTTCAGTATCTTCAACAACGCTTCGGCGCGCTTGCAGCCAAAGCACGACGGAAGGAATTGTGCACGTGATTGGGTTTGGGCGTTCGAAAGACACACCCTGCTGTTTTCAGTTTGTCAGTGACGACGGCTGCTTTCAAATACCTTTGATGTCAGTTCTAACTTCCAGCTGATGACAACTAAATTAATCTAAATTGCGTGTTTTTTACAACATTATGCAGTTCTTATATTTCAGAGTTGTACTTATATGCAGCTTAAGACATTAAGACTAAGACTTGAGACAATTAGTCTAAGAATGATGCACCAATTAGGTGCATCAGTAAAAAGAAAAAAAAATGGGTGGACGATTACATGACGTGATGCGAATGGACAGCGTCAGTGGTGCGACATTTCAGTGATATCGCGTCGTGATTGGAAATTACGGTGATGTTGCGTCGCGCGGTGTCTCGGATAAACCACAACTGATGACACAGAGCAGCTAGCACCAAACGCGCTCTCACGGACACCCTGCACAAATCCCTTGGTGGCGCCAGCGTGTCCATTCTTCGCTCGGTTACATTCTCTTCTACGTGGCGCTTCATGTTCACGCACATCTTGATCCTGACGTCGAATGTGTTCCACCCTAACACCCACGGTGGGATTGTCGGCTCCTATACATTGACGACGTTCTCTCTCGGGTGCGTTTACACCGTTGAACAACCGCGCCCCAGCGTATGATTCGGCCATCCCATTCTTGCGTCCGAAGGCGAGGAACAGCAGGTGGTGAGGAGCGCGATCACATGACCCCCAGCGTAATCGTGATTGGCCGAATGCGCTGAGCCTCAACAGCGACTATTCTATCAGTGTTTTTCTCCTTCGCTACGGTAACCGTGAAGCAAACCCCGCAGCTGCTCATGCGCCCCGCCAGCCTTGTCTGCATAGTTCAAGGTCTTGTGGCGGATTACGGAGCGCTATCCGGGTGCTTAGCGGACTGCGGAAACGGTCTACTACAATAGGGAGTTTTCGTAGACCGCGCTGCCCCCTCCGCTAAGCGTTCCGCAACGAAGTTGTTACTGCGCCTGCGCGCCGATAGCCTTGACTGTGGAGTTCCCGCTATCGTAGCGGGTTGCGGAGTGCCTTGCGGGACGGCGAAAACTATCTACGAAAACTCCCTAATTCCCCAGTATCAGGGAAGGGTCGAGGGTATCACTGCCGTACTCGCCCTTTCCCGGCGCCAAAGCCAACTGCGATAAACGCGCGCATGCTGTGTTCGTTATCGGAAACAAGACACTCCGACACTGTAAAAAGGTAAGGCGGTGCTCAAAAAGGATGCATGTACACCATTGGCATCACAAGAAGGGGGGGGGGGGGGGGGGGGGCGGCTTGCCCCGGGAGCAGCGCTCAGGCAGCTTAGGGGGTGCAGCTAGGCAGAGAAGTGTCGCGGCGGGCCACGAGAGTAGGGGAAGGGGGGCGGGGGGGGGGGGGGGGGGGGGCGCGGCGAACCACTGCCTTGGGTGCCGCTGACCCTAGTGACGTCACTGACTGATGCTCACCATAAAAAGGCCCGATGCAAAATAAACTGCTGCAAGACATTATTGGGCTAGAAGGGTACATTATCCGCATGCGCAGTAGCGTCGTCTTTTGATGGAGACTGTTCCAGTTAAGAGGGGCCCTGGTTCAAGTGTGTTACCTGCAGGCACCGAGACAGCGAAGAGGTACGCAAACGCCGCAAGCGAGTAAGTGGTCATCATAGTGGGCCTCCTTCCCCAGCGGTCGGCAAGCGGCAGTGCGGTGGCTGTAGCCACAATGTCCACCGCGTTGACGGCAGTTGTCATCAGGAACGGGTTGTGACTGGCATTGGCAGCATACAGTTGTCCCGCCATGTACACTAGGCACGCCAGCATCCTGGTAGTGGCACACACAGTCGTCAGGAGGGAAGTACTATCAACTCACGTGAGGCATATATTACTCTGAGTACTAAACATAGATTGCAAGTGTCGCCATTACTGGGTACTAACGGTACCCAGTAATGGCGGCACCCTAAAGAGGAGGCACATAATGGACGATACAGACGCGATTGTACCGCCTGTATCCTGCTTTTGTCTCCTCTTCCATATATGAAACAGAGTTAATCTGATGACAGTATATAACTTGTTTTTCTAAATGAAATAATGTCCTTAGTGCTCAATACAAAATTGGGCTGAATAGTATCTATCTATGATTCTGAGAAAGTAATACAAATTATAGCTGGTTTGTTCACGCCACCGCTGACGCAATGCATCGAGGGAACTTTAGCCGTCTTTGCACGTACGCAACCTTGCTGGAGCTTTGCCCGTACAGGGCCCGAAACTGCACGAGTCGTCTCGGTCACTGTCGCCTACCTCCTGTGAACTAAAGTTATGGCGGCTTCACGCATGCGCCGAACGCTTAGAGAGATTGGTCCATTGGAAAACCATAGATTGATAGAAAAAAAAAAGAAAAAAAAACGGAAAAAAACGAGAACAAACATAAAAAAGCACCAGGACAAGTTTATTTCAATTCATATATTGACAAAGGTGGTGGAGCTCTACTCAGGCTGTTTTTCTGCTTTAGACAAGTACGCTTCAGCACAGGCTGCAAACTTTATGCTGTGTGACTTGTGTGATAGTTTTGTTATGTGACTGAAGTTGGGATCTGTAACATTCTCAATGTCGACAGACTTACCAAGCAGCAAGAGTCAGAATGAAATTTTTTCGGAGGTTGGGTGTCTTCAGCATGTCCGTTGGAGAATCTTTGGGTTTCTGAGATTCATTTGGAGCAGGGAACTGCAAGGACCACGAAGAAAATAAAGCGATAACATAGTCATCTACTAACCAAGATGCAATTTTCATCACGTCAATACAAGGGAGAAAAGGCAGGCTAGTGAGGTTTTACTTCCTGAAGGCCTGTTCGATACACCAGCTCAACGTTCTCATGTTACGCCACCGCAGGGACGCTGCTGTCGGCATTGCGCATGCGCGGACACTTCACCGCAAACGAATCTCGTGTTTGCGCACGCGTCGACACCATGCCGACCATGCCGTGGGCACGCAGGCCTGTCGCTGGTGTATAACGGATGCAAACTGCACCAAACGTCACACGTGGCCATCCGTTCAAAGCAGGAAGCAGTTTAGACTTACTCGACATTTTCCCATGAACTCGTCCGAGAGCACCTTCCCGTTCACCTTGGCGATGAAACGGAGGATTTTCTTGGCTCGCGCTTCCTTGCCACGAGATACCAGCCACCGGAGGGACTCAGGCACAAATCTACATGGGTCCAATGATAGGGCAAATGAGAAGAAAGTAAAAAACTTCATTATTTTTCCGTGGTCATGTCGACCATAATTTATTTCCCCTCCTTTCAAAAAATCAACACAACGCACATAAAAAAAAAAAAAAAGCAACGAAGACGAAGCTGACGAAGCTAAGGGGTGGGGTATGCACAAGACAAGCGCGAACCTCCCGAAGTTCGAGTTCGAAAGGTTGCGAAATGTTCGAACTTTGCTCAGGTTCGAATTGGAAATGTTCACAACTTTAGAACCCCGCTAAGGTTCAATATCGAATAATTCGGAAACGTTAAGGTTTCTGAAAGCTCGAGTTCGAAGATATCAAATTTTGTTTTATAGATAGATCGAAAGAATTTGAAAATTTCAAATTTATTGAAGATTCAAGTTCTAAAAATCGCATATTTCGCATATTTTTCGAGGTACAAGTTTGAAAAAGATTGTAAGTTTCGATTTTAGGTTCCAAGTCTGAATTTCACGGATATGGAAATCAAATTCCGCAGTTTCAAACTAAGGTTTCATAAATTCATATGAATTTATCACATGACCCCTCCCCCCCCCCCCCCCCCCCCGCTCCCTTTTCCTCTTCCCGAGGGTGGGTAAATATTATAAACCACGGGGCCCCTCGCGCGGAAAACGTGATTTTCAGTTTACTATAAACACCCGACAGATAAGTTTCTATAACAAATGTAGAAAGATACCTGGCAGTTTTGCGAAAGAAGCGATACATTGTAAATGTATTTCACTACTTAGAAACCTTTTTTTTTACTGTATCTCGATACAAAGATACGGATACCCGAAAGTATATCTAAGATACTATAGCGATACTTTTTCTTTTTTATCGCGATACTGCCCAACCTTGATCACGGCCAGACTGGAAGCGCGCGCTCTCCTTCTCTTCTTACGGCCTTTGCAATTGGAGCAATCGCCACCTCCCGCCGCAATTCGCGGGGGGCGCTGTCACCTCACCCCTGGTAAAGCCCCTCGATATGTTTTCGTTTGTCTTTGCGAGTAGCGCCAAATGCGCGAGCGCACGTTGCCCAGGTCTCGAGCGGCCCTTGGAAGCAAATGGCAGCGCAGCACTGAAATGAGCGGCCCTTGGAAGCGAGTGGCGGCGGAACACCCGCTCGTGGCACGTGTCTTGCGCATTTCCACAACAATGGTTGGCGGTACTTGTAAAAACACATTTATCAAGGGGCTTTAACCCCTGGGCTACCCTTTGCCGTTTGCACAAAGCGCGCCTGACAGTGTATCTCAGCGCTGTCGCAACTTGCGGCCGAGATTTTTATAGCCTTTGACACGTGATACTTATGTTTAGACCCACAGCCACTATCTAATGCGCTTCTGATGAGCCCAAAACGGTGAATATTTGACGCACGTCTCCGAGAGATTCGGGAGTAAAAAGTAGTAAGTAGAGACAGCGAATGCAATTGCGGAAAAACTATACTCGTATTTACCTCCAAGACTTGTGTTGCAACTCAAGAACAGGGGGAGACGGACCCTTATACGTGGAGGAGCTTTAAATCATAAATAATTCGTACACTCTCGTGAAATGTAAGCAGGCCCAATCTATCTATTGCCGTGGTCTACATCATCATTTCATAAGCCACACATGAAGTCGGCCAGCTGCTCTAGACGATCGAGTGTGTCTGTACAATTTTCACACAGTGCATATTATAACCTAAAGTGCTTTCTCGAGGGCTTGTGCACATATCCAGTTGATTTTTCGTTTCTGTCCGTGATCGTCTTCGCATGGTTAATCAGAAGTATTCTGAGGAACCGTTGCAAAAACAACAACCTACGAAGCTCGAACACCAGCGCAAAGCAGCTCAAAGGGACTCTATGAGTGGGGTGAAGTGGGGTGGTTGCGCCCCTGGCGGCAAGCAAGTGGACTACATACGGAGAAAAAATGCCATTGACTTCCGGGCGATAGCAAAGGCCGTAAGAAGAGAGCGCGCGCTTCCAGTCCGGCCGTGCCTTGATGCGGGCCTACATATCAATACCACGTAATTAAAACAGGGAAGCAGAAGGGCAGATTTGTTGCTTCTGCCTCCCTGTCCCTAGGTTGAAGAACGGTGGACTAATAAAACCTCTAATCAGAGGAATCAGAGTGTTACTTTCGCAAGGTTTCTACTAGTATAAAAGACATAGCGTGCAGCATACGAGCACCGCAGACATGTATGACAGGATTATGTGCGGACACACATATGTTGGAAGCATGTTTACTTCGTGCGTATACTATATGCTCCGAACATTGTCTGCGGTCAGTCCTTGTAGGACAATGTGACAGGACATTGTACAAGTAAGACGCCTCGGTCAATGCCTCTGAAGACTGTAGTTTGTGCGATGTATTAAGCAGCTGTGACCGCGGCACTGGGAACGATGAGTAGGCAAATAAATAGAGTGAAAAAGCATTTGGCAGTGCGCCATGCCCCTTACAGGCAGAAAAAGGGTGCTGCCAGCGGGGGAAGCGCTGAGACGAGCGTCCTCCAGTCGCCGATGTAGTAGGCCAGCCAGGGGAACGCAGCTCCAACGAGGGGGTACGAGAACTGGAAACCGCTCAGCACCATCATTCGCCGCTCCGGAGCCACATACTCCACCACTGCATGCCGAAGACAAATGGAGCGTTGCCAATGCTGTTAGTCGTAGAAATGCCGTCGGAACTTGGAAGATATATTCCGTATCACGCTTTCAAGCATGAAAGCCTGTTATGTTATTCACACATTTTTATACGGTTGGACACATGACGCCCAAGATTATTCAGGTTCGGCGTGGCTTACAGAAATGTCAACGAATGATTTCTTCAAGCCGTCTTTTAGTGTGACGATCGGCGAATGCCCCTTGCAAAACAGCCAAAAACTCCCGACACAAAAAATACGTCAAAAATTAGTATATATATATATATATAACTAAGAAGAAAAAACCCGTAGTGAAAACAGCAACAACGGACGATATATATATATTTGATATATCTGTCCTATAAATATACTGGGTGCTTTTTGTTTTTTTTTTTAACTTAACCGATTTGTTTTAAAAAATGCCGTGAAAGTTACACTGATGCGGTTTGTGCGGGTGAGCTATACTTCCAGGGGGACATAGTATAGGGGGCTAACCGTAACGGATCAGACGACTATATATTTAAAATTCGTGAATTAACTTTCTAATTATTGACAATAGACATATGGTTCCAAATAAAAACTTGCTGAGCGTCATCGAAAACCACTGAATCAGTAATTTTCAGAAGAATTTGAGCGCGTGAGAAGCGTAGTAGTGCACTAAAGTTACCACTCGTGGAGCAGGTACAAGGCTGGGGCTAGATAAGAGACGGAAAAATCGCGCGGGCGCCTTACCGCAACCGCTAGCCTTGTACCTGCTCCACGAGTGGTAACTTTCGCGCACTATTAGGCTTCTCACGCGCTCAAAGTCTTTATGAAAATTATTGATTTCGTGGTTTTCGATGACGCTCAGCAAGTTTCTAATTGGAACCATATGTCTATTTTCAATAATTAAAAAGTTAATTAACGAATCTATTTAATTAACCGACTGATCGTTACGATTAACCCCCTATACTATGTCCCCCTGGCCGTATAACTCACCTGCACAAACCGCATAAGTGTAATTTTCACGGCTTTTTTTAAACAAATCTGAGTAACACAGAGGTCTGGATGGAATGATTTATGGGTAGACGCGAAGCTAGCTGATGATCATGATGATATAGTGTATCGATGACAGAGAGATGCCGATGATGTTTAAATGAAGCTCATGGGTGAGGGGATGATGTTGCGCGTAATGACGGCCCAGTGTTGTTTAGTGGACTGCTGGCTGGGCCGGTCTTTTGTCCAGCTGGTATCACGACTCACAAAATTATACACCAGCTTGAGGATTCATACTCAGAAGTTGTATGACTTTTAAACCTTTTCTTTAGGGGCGACGCTCCTTAGGGGCTAGCCATGTCCGTATGTCCGTCCGCCGTCGGGTGCACGTGCTCCTGTTCGTGAGCTCACGCGCTCACGTGCTCACGAGCACGTGAGCACGTGCTCTCGTGCTCGTCTAGGGCAAAAAAAAAACAAAAAAACGCATCTCCACGTGGTGAATGATGTTGACTGGGGCGAAGCTCTGGTACACTGTAGCTCTGGTGGTGCTTGTCTGCGTAGACGGCGAGCCGCAGCATGCCGGGCTTTTCGTTCGTTTTCATCCATGTCAGAAAGAGAATGTGTGGTATGGAACGTGGTTATATACGCATTTGAGCATTTGACCGCAGCGTGACATGGATGAAAACGAACGAAAGGCTCGGCATGCTGCGGCTCAGCGTCTACGCAGACAAGCACCACCAGAGCTTCGCCCCAATCAATATCATTTATTATGTGGAGATGCGGTTGTTTTTTATCGATTCAATATGTTGTAAAGTGGCATGTAGATGGTGCAGTGCGACTGATACCCTTAGCGTTTCATGCGCATCACGCAGTAGTGTCTACACAGCTGCACTCCAGAACAGCCATCCGTATACTGGAAACGAGAGGAGCCTCCGGGGACAGAGCGGGATTTCGATCCACGAGTTAGGGTAGACATCCACACTTTGGCTCCTCTCACTCACCCAACACGAAGGGCGTGATGCTGAGAGCGAGCATCACGAGACCCAAGAACACTCGGCTTAGGACGAAATGGAGGAAGCCCTCAGTGAAGAAGGTGTACAGTCCAGCGCCACCGCACAGGAGGTTCACGCCGACGATCACCAAGACCCGGCCGTACCAAAGGTGCGTGGAGATACCAGAGTTAAGCCGGATACCTAATTTCCATGCAGAATACATCAATGAATACGTTACAAAGATGCGTAATTAACTCAGTGGGTAAACTAATTTTGTAATCAAATGGTATATATATATATATATATATATATATATATATATATATATATATATATATATATTATATATATATATAAAAGATTAAAGGCAGCTGGTTTTGTCCGCAAATTTCACTTTTTGTTTCCGATTTTGTTTTTCGCTCGTTTTTCTTTATTGTTAAGGTAAACCGACAGCTATAATAGCCATTCCAGATACAAAGACCGTCACAAATGAATGTTTTGTGTATGTTCGTCACTGATCGGTTCATCAGTGGTCGTCTCTATGTAACAAGGTAAAAGTAAAGATTTCTCGTCGATCGTGCACGGGGTGGTGCGCTGGCTGGAGGGTGGCTTTTTTCCGGTGGCTTCAGTGACGCTCACGACTCGGTGGTTGGGTAAATAGATATTTACAGATTATGAACAACTTTTTACAAAACAACGCAATAAAACGTCGCGCTTGGCGTACTGTCGCTCGTGACAGCCCAACGCCAACAATGGCGCCTCGGCGCCGCGCCAAATCCGTTGCCACGCACGGCAAGCTCTCTGCCTCGCGAGACAGAGTACGCGAAGGCCCTCGGGACCGCGGGAGATAACGACTTGCTCCGCGCACGGGTTCGTTCAAACTCAATTTCTCCAATTCCCCCTCTCCCCCCCCAGTTCTCAGAGTGGGGGGGCAAGGCATGTATTTTGCCCCCCCCCCCCCTAAACGGCCGCCACTGGGCAGGGCAAACACTGGCCGGCGACGCCCATGGAATACCATGAGGCACCGGCCCCCGACCCGCGCGGGCATATTTTTAACCCGCAGGCGATACAAACCCTAGCAACGGCGCTCACGCCAGAATGGCTGGTTCGTGCAGCCTTGCTCCACGAACAAGGCTCCACGGTCTCCTTGCGGAATCCATCCGCGAGATGTGGGCCGGACGGGCTGTCCGGACCAGAACGTAGGCCCTTACACAAAATAACGTTTTGCTTGCTTGCTTGGAGATAGGCGCTGCCGCCGTCGACATAGGCAGCGGATGCAATGCGAGTTTCCGAAGAGGTAGCATAACTTAGTGGTGAGATGTCTGCCTCATATGTATCAGACCCGGGTTCTATTTCTGGTGTGGGCTTACTTCTTTTTATTTTTTTTTCCTCGAACATTTTGTTTTGTCGAGGCATTTGGCGATATTTACGGCATTTATTTTTTACCGTTAACAAAAAAAAAAAAAAAAAAGAAAAAAAAAAACAATGTTGTTGACGATACATCGCTGAACTAAATCGTATGGGATTCCATTTACGGAAGTGCATGGGGGACAGCAGGGTTTGGGTTGCCGAATGGACACCGCAAAGCGGCGTGTACAGTGGGAGAGGGGGGGGGGGGCTAAGTGGGTTAATAGATTAGTAATTAGCAGCCGCACACTGTCGCCGCAAAGCGGCGTGAACGCAGGCGCAGGGGTGGGTTAACGCGCTTCGAGTGATACACGCGCCGTCCGAATCCGAAATTTAAGTTCCCGCGCGTTGCCGAGCAGCCCATCCGGCGCGAGCGTCGTTGCTAGGGGGTCTATCGCCTGCGCCGTAAAAGGAGCCCGTGACCAAGGCGCCCGGTGCGCATACACAATTGGCCCTCTCCTCCCCTCCCCTCCCCTCCCTCCCCCTCCCCCCCCACACACTCCTTTTACAACGCCTACACGCACACACGCCGTAAAAGTTAGTGATGGACCGAATCTGCCGAACTTCAGATTCGGCAAAATTCCGCACATACCGATATTTTGAAGGAAAGTTCGCCAAAGATTCGGCAAATGTCTGCCCACGCGCGCGAACGCGGCGGGGCCATGGATCGCAAATGGACGCCGCGCAGTCGCGCGGTTACCATTTCACAGTTTACTACAACCATCGGTTACGGCGAGGTCTGGAGTAGGCTACACGGTAACTGTGCGTTTGTGAGCTTTTGCGGGTATGGTTCTCTTCAATATTTCCTGCCTCAAGAACAGAAGATCGACCAGCAATTTACGCAGTCCACTGCGCAAGTGACAAATGATGCGGTGCATTCTGGATAACGTGATTTTCATTTGACCTCTCCATTGATGCAACGAGATAGTTTAAACATTGACTGACAACTGACAATTACGCTCAGTGTGCGCAGGCCACTGCCGACAAACGGGGCAGAGTCACGAGAGCTTGCCAGAATGTATGGGATGCATCTGGCATTCTCGTCATATTGTGATACATGTTTTGTCGCTTCGTTTCTTTCCTTTCTACATACTTTATGTAGTGTGTATATTCTGTACATTTATTTGTCTTTTTTTTTTTTGATATGTGGTGGCGGGCTGGCAGCATAAATGTTCAAGGTACTCAAAAAATGTAATTAAGTTAAGTTACTGAGTATTAGCCTCAGAAGTAATTTGAGCAGAGTAGAAATTACTCAAATGGAAAGTAATTCAGTAAATTACTAAATACCGTAAAAAAATAGCGATTTACTTATGAAGTTACTTTTACTTTTTCTATGCTAACAAGGAAGTACATACATAGGTTTTGATGTGTGAGTGGACAGTGCTGTGGTGTGCAGACAGTGTTTGATTGCTTACAGTGTTGCGTAAAGTACGTCTGAAAACTACCTGGAAGTTCAAAGTAAATGAGAGGTTATGTACTTCAAGTAAAGTAGTAAGTACACCGGGTGCAATGTACTTTAAAAAAACATACTATAGATACAATGAACTTCCAAAGTAAAGTAGAAGTACTTTTTAACACACTCTTTCAGAATGCCCTTTCATTCCCTATACATCGTTTTATTCTTATTTTTTTTTTTTGGCCGGTATGCAATGCTTTAGGGAAAATCGGTGGTGCATCAGTTTTTTTCGGGAAAAACGCATAATCGAAGGTGCATCAGTTTTTTTTTTTGTATTTTTTTTTAAATGCCGGCGACTAATATACCATAGAGCAGGGGTGGCCAAACCGCGGCTCGCGAGCCGCATGCGGCTCTTTGCTGGTCCAAGTGCGGCTCGCGGATCCCTGGTAAGGGGACCCCCCCCCCCACCCCCCCCCCCTTCTTTCGCCCCTTTCCGCGTTTCCTCAGAAAAAAAAAAAAAAGAAAGGATCTCAGAATAAAGCACACTGCAGCTTGCAGTTTGACAGCATTGTACTCCCATACGTACAGTCGTACAGCCTTGTGCCCCCATACGTACCGTCAGACTCTGAACAGAAGTTAAATTTGCCCCCCCCCCCCCCCCCCCGCGGCTCTTAGAAGTTCCGTGGTTTTGTTTGCGGCTCTTAGGCCAGGCCAGCCTGGCCACTCCTGCCATAGAGTAATTGCTTTATTCTCGCTAAAGAAGCATTTAACACAATCAACTTATAAGGCACTTATTTGTATAAGTCTTATAGCCGCCATTTCTACACTCAGAGAAATGACCAGATGACGTCTCGAAAGACAGCACAAGCTACATACAGGAGCACCAGATTAACTTCAAAGCGGGTGCTGCACTTTGTTACCTCCTTTGAGTGAAGACGCAGTATGTGCACCTCCTGTAGTGGGCAAGAATTCCTACATTGGGGAGAAGCGGGGACAAGCCCTTTCTTCAAATGCGTCAAGTCTCCTTGAGCTTCGGGATACAAAGAAACGCCAGTATTCGGAGATAATCCCACAGTTACTCGGCCTCTCTTGCGCCGTGTCTGTTCGCTCCCCGTGCCTCGTAGCAGTGCGTTGCAGTGGGGGGCTGGTTAAAATTTTGGGGGGTTTTAGACTATCCAAATTGCTTTCTTTCGTCCCCTCTTTTCTACGCCACATGCTTCCCCCTCTGCAAATATCAGTTGATCTTCCAACATCTTTCCTCTGTTGATAGGCAAAACAACCACTAAAATTAGAAAGTAATTTGTAATTTGAGTGGAAGTCACTCGGAAAAGTAGTTAAAGTAAACTACTAATTACCAGAATAGAAATGTAATTGAAAGTTACTAAACTACCAAGAAAAGTAGTTAAACTACAGTCACTTGAGTAAAGTAGTTGAACTACGTACAAGTCTCGCTGACAGGAGCTCTGCGTAAGGGTTTTCGCCTATCTGCGTAGCCCCGCACACCATCACATGCAAGGGCCAAGAAAGGTGTAGTTTTACTGCAGAGGAGAAATCAGCAGGGTCAAAGATGGTGACAATGGAGGATGGGGGACTGTTCCAGTCGCTGATGGCTTGAGGAATAAATGACCGATTGAAAGCGTTAGTAAAGCTAGAAATGCGTTTGATGGTGCAGACGTTGTTGAGGCGAGAAGATGTTCGGTCGGGGGGTAATAACAAAGTGGTTTTGAGGTCGGGAATGTGGTAGTAGAGTTTATGAATAATGCACAGCTGAGAGACTTTCCTGCGAAGCTGCAAAGAGGACATGGTTAGTTAAGTTTTTAGCGCTGAGACACTGAAAGAAAAGTCATAAGTGGATGATATGAACCGAGCAGCTCTGTTCTGAACCGCCTATAGGGTATTGATGAGGTACAGTTGATGGGGATTCCAGATGGTTGAAGCATATTCTAATTTTGGCCTGACCTACGTGTCAAAGGTTAGCTTACGGACAAAGGATGGAGCGCTTCTTAAGTTACGTCTGATTAGTCTAAGAGTTCTATATATATATAGATGAATCGGCAGTAATGCCTTCAACGTGGTTATTCCAGGAAAGGTCAGATGTTAGTCTTACACCAAGGTATCTATGCACAGTAGCGGTCTCAATCAGATCGGCCTCCAAAAAGTAATTAAATGACAGGGTGTTTTTTTTTTCCTGGTGAAGTGAATTAGTTTGCATTTAGACTTGTTTAATGACATGATCCACTCTTTGTACCAATTGTTAATTTTATCTAGATCTTCCTGAGGCTGGTTATTATTTTGCACACAAGTTAATTTGTTATAGATGACACAGTCGTCGGCGAAAAAGCGTATTTTTGAAGAAATCTCAATGGTAATGTCATTAACCAATATTAAAAAGAGTAAGGGCCCAAGTACGAACCCCTGGGGAACACCAGAATATACATTTATTAAGGAAGATTCATGATCATTGTGGACGTGAGCTGCACACGGGAAAAAAGAAAGTCACGAATTCATGCAAACGGTTATTGGTCGAGGCAAAGAGATGATAGTTTAGAAAGAAGGCGTTGATGGGGGACACGGTCGGACGCTTTGGAAAAAAAAAAAAAAAGAACTGCGTCAGTCTGGACGTGACATTCAAGGTTAGTGTGCAAGTAATGGATGAAGTAGCAGGGCTGTGTTTCGCAGGAAAGTACCTTTTGAAAACCGTGCTGCTGTTTAAAGAAAAGAAATGGGATGATAGGTGCCTCATGATATTAGAGTAGAGCATATGCTCAAGTAGTTTGCAAAAAATTGAAGTCAAAGAAATAGGGCGATAATTAGATGCGGAAGAGCGGCTGCCCTGTTCAAAGACTGGGATTACCCTTCCCACCTTCCGGTCAGATGGAAAGCAGCTTTGAGATAAGGACTGATTAAAGATGAGTTTCAAATACTCAGCGGTGTTTCTTTTAAATTTTAGACTTGATGTTATCGGTTCCAGCGGACGAAGTAAGTTTTAGTTTATCAATCCATTTTTTTTAATACTGGAGGAGTTAACGTTAATATGATGCATGCGCTCGTAAAGCTCTTCAGGGAGAGTGGGAACGGAGTCCAAGCACTCGTTAGTAAACACTGATGAAAAGCATTCGTGAAACACAGAACTATCATGCTCGACGTTGCAGATCCGACATTCCTAACTCTCCCATCTTCCTAAAAGTCTGTGTGTGTCCTAACACCAGAAACTGGAATTTTAAAGGTTAAAAACGGCACGTTGCGAATATGGAACGCGCACTTTCATGCAAAGCTGACGTCAGTGACTCAAATCGAAAAACATGCATATTTACGATATTGTTATCTCTTCTGGTGAAGGCTCAGCAACCGTTGCATCCGGTTTCGCGCACGAAACGGTGACTCCCAGAGAAAGTAAGAACGCAGTGATTGCCTTTATTTTAACAATATAAACACACTTGCAGGCGTGCGCTGATGAAGCCTCAAAATCAAAACTCTCGTAGCGTGATTCGTGACTGCGCCAGCTACTACCCAACCTCGTTGTCACGCCACTTTCTGCAAGCAAACACTAAAATTGCCAGTAAACACATAAAAGTGACATCGATACAATTATCTTCTAGAATATCACCTTATTTAGTCATAACTGTTTCAATACGCACTACATGTTGTATTTATATTAAGAAGAAAAAAAAATATGTTTCGTCAGAAAAAAACAAAATATTAATGTTAAGTCTGGTAATATTGTAATTTTGCCGAATCATTGACAAAACTTTAGAAAAGTTCGGCAAAAGTTCGGCCCATCACTGGTAAAAATATGCGACCAAGGGGGGGGGGGGGGCGGGAGGGTTCGGTTTGTGTCCCCCCCCCCCCCCCCACACACACACACACACTCAAAAGGTACGCCACTGAACGAGCCCGTGCGCGGAGCAAGTCGTCATCTCCCGCGGTCCCGAGGGCTCCGCGTACTCTGTCTCGCGGGGCAGAGAGCTTGCCGTGCACGGCAACGGATTTGGCGCCGAGGCGCCATTGTTGGCGTTGGGCTGTCGCGAGCGACAGTACGCCAAGCGCGACGTTTTATTGCGTTGTTGAGTAAAAAGTTGTTCCATAATCTGTATCTATCTCTTTGCTCAACGACCGAGTCGTGAGCGTCACTGCAGCCACCGGAAAGAAGCCACCCTCCGGCACCACCCCGTGCACGATCGACGAGAAATCTTTACTGTAACTTACAGCGGCTCTACTCTGGCGCACGCAAAAAACTTATACAAGAATGAATGACACGGGACCAGAGGCCTTCTCACAGAGAACAGGCAGCACAGTATGCTACATGGCGGGAGGACTCCTTTACCTTCCTCAGTTATTCTTCAACAATTCAAGGGCAACAAGAAGACGTCTTTGCAACGTATGTTTTTCCCCTTGTTTTGTGTTATTTTAGCTTACCATCGACGATGTACAGCTTCTATGCGCGCACTGCCAACCAGCTTCCACTAACCGCATTTCACATAATTAAATAATCTTGTTGTTCTTGTCAGATCACACAACGCGTGATTGACCTAATCATTGGAGGTACTCCCGTGCACCAATTTGCTTTTCAACTCCGAAAAAAAAAATGCACGGTGGAAGATGGCCGCCAGCGCAAACTCTGCAAGACAAGTCAACAGTATGGCGGCCTAACTGGTGGCCTCTTGGATGCGGACATATTCATCATCCACGTGAAGGGACGTTTCCAAAGCTCGATCGCACGTGCTTGTTCACACGAACGGGGACATGGTAGCGGCCACAAGTTGTGTTTACAAAAGTGGCCATATGACTATATATCGTCTTGTCACCTGATCGGGAATGTTAATCGCATATGATCACAAAACGTCGTCTTTAAGACGGATTGCAAAAAGGTTATGTGAAAGGGAATTGCAATGCAAAGTAAAAAAACAAAACAAAAAACAATAAACGAGGGCGCAGAGGTCAAGACAGGAAGGTACAAATGAGCTGTAGAAAAGTCTCGCAACACAGTCGGTAAGCGTCATGGTCAGGGAAGGAAAAGGAAAAATAACGATGCGGCATTCATATTTGTGCAATCTTTGTTATTATGTGGGTCATGGGCACAGGTCACATGGAAGTCCCCAAGTCCTGAACTCTGAAATACCTAAGACTTGAAAGCAACTGTGGTAATTTACATGCTTTGCCCTCTCGACTCTCCCAGGGAAGAGTCACGTGAAAATGAGGAATAAAGGTTGGAAAGACAAGGAGAAAGTAGGGCAAAAGAAACAAAAGGCACGAGCAGCCAAAGCAACAGAGGTACGGAGCAGCGAGGGAGGAGGCAAAAGAGGGGAAAAGTGAATGTAACAATGCCGATTTAGCACTTGTCGTGAAGTGTTCTACATTGGGGTGTAAAATGCAGAGACGCGTGTGCTGTCGGTTACTTCTAAAATAGCTTTAGTTGTGCAATCTAAGACGAATAATGTATCGTCTCTACCTTCATTTTGTTGAGCTTTGTCGTCGCGCGAGCGTCAAAAACACAATAAAGGGGACAAACTTGATTCTGGAGATTCCGAACAAGTTTGTAAGCTTTCGCAAATAACAGCCTACAGTTGTGCAGACGGCAGCACCGTATACCTGTCGCTTAGATTCCCACAGATGAGCACTCCTACTGCCGTGGACACCCAGAAAACGGTGTTGGCCACGTAGTTTTCCAACTGTTCTCGCAGACCCAGTCCATCTGAAACATAATGTTTTCCAATAAACGCATTGCACTCGATCCTGCCTGTATCCGTGCGTGCGTGTTTGAGTGAATATATGAACCGCGTACAATTGTTTTCGCTGTGCCCAGTGCACAATTACATTGTGTAATTTTTTTCTGACCAAGAAACGCCACGCGCGGACCTGCGATTTTGATAAGTTCACCTTAATATATTCAATTGTAGCATACTTGCTTCCTCGTTAGATGATGGTATGAAAGCAGGAAGTTGCACTTTTTATCGCCCAAGTCTACTCAAATAATCGCCGGAAAAGGTTCATTCGGTCGGTTCACGGGAGAGTGCACAGTAACCGCAAAGGTTGTGTCTGTCATTGTTGTCACATACCTCCGCATTCGCAAAAAAACATTCTCAACACGTGCTTCTTCTTTTAGAGCGCAGCTCTTATGCGCCCGTTCCCGGCTTGAGCGGCGTCGCCGTCGCCGTCGCCGTCGGCGTCGGCGTAACCGCGCGTTGCATCATGGGACGTTTCCCATGACGTCACGACCTTCACGTGACCTTCACTTCACAAAGCCTTCACGAGTGACGTCACGAGTGACGTCACGAGGGGGACGCAAGGAGGGCAAGGACGATGGGGAGGAGGAGGGGAGGAGAATGAGAGGAGGAAGGAGGGGAGGGGGACGAGGAGACCAGGAGGAGGAAAAGACGCATACCTCCTCTCCATACCCCCTCCTCCTCCTCAAGAGCTGCGCTCTAATTCGGCGTTACAGGGAGTTGTAAACGTCTTTCATTTTTCCTTGAACTACACACCCACAAGCATCACTGCAGTAAAGAAATAACTTCTTCCACTTTTGGCAAATAGGAAAATCTCCAAAGTGTGGTATCGCTACCATGACTGTACCCCTGTTCATCGAAGAGAACCCGGCTGTAGGCTGTACAGCCGGTCGGATTGCCCGACTGTATAATTTACACTTATCCAAGCACAAATAATTAAAAAAAATTAATTTGGTTACACCAAGAGCGAGGCTTTCGAAATACTTTTCGTTTCAGATATTTATTTCCAAATGGAACCACCCCTTCCTGATCTCACCATTCATTCAGTAGTAATCTTCCGGCTTCAGAGTTGCATTCGATACTTTTTTTAAGTACCTAGCAGCATTTAATTATCTGCTTTGCTTATTTTTCCTTTTGAGAATATATCTTCATCATATTATTTGTCTCACTAATCGACTTACCTCAGAGACGACGCTTGGATAGATGAGCGAGAAGTCGTACTCCCAGCCGAACTGACACGACGTGGTTTCGAGGTCAACGGACGGCGCAGTCGTCGAAAAGTTCACTGATGCACCAGTGCCAGCCTGAAGCCATGGCGGAGCAGCGTGGCGTTCACGTCGTACATCCTGCACTGGCTCAAGCTTCCGTCCGATTCTCGGGGAAGGGCCACGCCAAGGATGGCCTCCCCAGAGACGTTGAGGCCCTCGTACAGGTGCAGGGGAACCTTGCAGCGGTGAGGGGGCACCAGGAAACTGAAGATGTGCGCGAAGAGGGGCATCACGCGCACGGGGGCAACGAGAACGCAGAGGTAGGTGATGAGCAGGTACTGGAACAGGCCGAAGTCGCCGGCCTGTCGCAACGCTTCCTCGGGCTGCATGTCGTCGCCACTTTAGCTCCTGTTATGATGATTGCTGAGAATCCTGGAACCAAAGGCGCACAGCGTCAAAATGTAAGAGAAGAATATATTATGTTTTAATTTTGTTGGGTCGCGCTCAGAAAAACACTAAACATGTACCGGGTGTTTTTTTAATAACATATTAGTTTTAAGAAAGTTGTGGAAGTTACATTTATTTATGCGGTTAATTTGTACAAATGAGTTATGCGGCCAGGGAAACATAGTATAGGGGGCTAATCGTAACGATCAGCCGGCTAATCAATTAAATTTAGCAATTGACTTTTTAATGAATGAAAATAGACATATTGTTCCAATTAGAAACTTGCTGAGCGTCATCGAAAACCCCTAAATCAACTCCTTTTAGGAGGACATAAAGCAGGGGCAGCATTTTACGGCCTTCTAAAAAAGTGCTAAATTTGGACGCGTTTCTAGGTTGCGCTATCTTACTGGAGCGCATAGAGCACATCATTGCGCCCGCGGTCCTGCCCCTTGGTGGTCGCGGCGCGGAGCCATCCCCTCGCCTACCTCGTAGCATCATCATGGAAAGAAGTTGGGCGCACGTGTGTTGCGCGTCTCAGCCACTAGGGAGCAGGACCGCGGGCGGACAGATGCGCTCCGATAAGAAATCGAAACCTAGAAACGCGTCCAAATTGAGCGTTTTTACGGAACGCCATAACACACAGCCCCTGCGTTAAATCCTTTTAAAAAAAAGTTAATTTAGTGGTTTTCGATGACGCTAAGTTTCTAATTGGAACAATATGTCTATTTTTACTAATTAAAAAGTTAATTATCAAACTTAAGAGGGCGCGGTACCTCTATTTATTCGTCCGTTTCAGCCACCAGATGGGGCGCGGCTCGAAACATGGTTGAACGCGCAACTTCTAGATGGCGCCAGTATCGAGGTGTGAAAAGGCCCGCGTTATCCGCTGCGTGAAATAGATCCCGAAATGTGCCGTGTTCTCCCGGCGGAGGAAGTTTCTCCCTCCCTCGCGCGCGCTTGGTATGTACGCGCGGTGGCCGAGTCCGGCCTCTGGGCTGTGTGATGCAGTGGGTGGCGCTCGTTTCTGTTCGGAGGTAGGAATAAAAATGCCGGTCCCCTTTTTTACGACGCTCGTTTCTATAGCTTGTTCTTTTTTTTTTTTTTTTTTCAAGTGACCTACAGTACCGCTTGCTCGAAATCGTCCTTTGCGGTGAGCGATTGAGAGTCAGGTTAGCATTTTATTTGGGTCAGCACTACACGTTCAATGGAGACCTGGGGCGGCGATGTAAATATGCATTGCTCCCCAAAGTGTGTCCAAGGTGCGCAATGACAATTGGAAAGGGTATTAAAGGCGCGCGACCGTCGGTTGGTAAAATACGTGCGTTAGATTCACTTATTCAGTCTAATCATTTTTGCCGACGTCTTTTATCTGTTTCGACAAATGACATGGTCGAGTCTATTGATAACCTTAGCTAGATTGGACGTACGGAGTGTCCGGGCTTTAAATAAATTTGCTTCGTTTATGTGAATGAATAACTGTTTTCTCTTTTCCGTGCTCGGTGCTATGCAAAAATCGATGAGATGTTATGGTAGCTCAGTGTGGCGGCGTTTTGCACGCTGACTCGCTTTGCATTCGCTGTGCACAATATGTGTTCAGATGGAATGTGCCAAATCGTATTTCCGATCGATATGACAGATTTACTTTGCTACAGTGTTAATTATATTTTCCTGATTTAAACTGGTTCGTCCCTGATCTGAGCCTAAGTTCAAATTCGAAGGGCAGACAGACTTAGCGTCGTAACAGCCATAATGGGCAGAAAGAAATTAGTACCATGAAAGAAAAACAGAAGGATACGAGATGGCTCAGTGTTATAGAAGTAATGAGTGTGCAAAGAATGCCATCGTACGTGTTTTTTTTTTTTTGTTTTTTTTTAACTCTCCGCATCGCTGGGAAACGCTCAAGGTACCAGCAAAGACAGCGAGCTGGCGTGAAATTTCCATCGAGCGGAAAACGAGTGTCATTTTTATTTCATCATGCGCTTTCATTTTGATATGGCTCGAAATGGGCGCGAAATAGTAACAGGTAAGGCAACAAAATTTAGATGTTAGGTCTGGAGCACCGCCATACTCAGCCGTGTTGGGGGCATCTCTCGCGAGTCAATACGGCAAAGGTATTGCGCGTCGAACTGTACGTGAGAGTTATCCATTTTAGCGAAACCTTGATTTCGCAAAACTATTGTGGCTCGAGTCGTGGCTTCCAGTACTTGGAAGCCACGAGCGAGAAATAAATGACAATTGATTTTGAAGGACAATCGCGACGTGGAAACCCATAAAAGAGAGTTCCAATAAGACGAGAGCTTCCCCTTCTCTTCAAGTGCATGGGTTACGCTCTCAATCCTGCACCTGTGGTAACACTGCAGGCTCCTAAAATCGCTTTGAAAACGTTCCTGATCGCAACAACTTTTTTTTTTTTGTCGAGGCGCTATTTCATTTTTTTTTTGTCTACCTTAATACCCCATCAGCGCAAAAACTGCCATAAACTAAAAAAAAAAAAAAAAATAGTGGGCATACAACGACAACGCACCCACTGGGAACCGAGTCAAGGCAAGAACGACTAACTACTAAAAAGGAAAAAAAATCATGTTCGCATACACAGACAGAACGCCTCCATCGAAAGAAATGAATCATGCGCTTGTTCTGCCAGTCTCGTTGTGCGTCTGTTAAAAGCCACAAAGGAGGAAGACAATTAGCGCCTACACCACTCCCCTCCCCCCCCCCCCCCCCCAACCACCCCTAAAAAGAAGAAAAAAAAGGTTTCTTGGGCGCGCGCGCGGTCGCCCAAGCGATGACTTTGGAAGGGTATGCGATTGTAGCACGTTTGTCCCCCGGTTGTGCCCCTGTCTCAAATGCCACGGTCCGTTTCTCCCAAGTGCATGTCTTATCTTCCCGAGTATCAACTCCGCAGTGATTCTGAATCATTCCGATGCTTTCCAACGTTGCGAAACTGTTAGACGAATATTTCACCTTTCCAAAAAACACTCGACCCCAGGGGTAACAAACCGTTTTTGAGCCCAGTCACTGAGTTTGAGGCTAGACTCTCACCGGCGTCCCTCCTAACCCTAACCGAGGGGACTGTGATTTTGATAGGCGCAGCCTGCGTAGGCGCAGTTTCAAACGCTGCTGGCGGCTAAATTCTTGTCTTTTCCCGCTATATTTTGTGTTTCGTGGTACATGTATGTTCCCGAGGACATTAAGAAAGCATTGAGCCACATTTGAAAAAAACAAAAAAAAGCTGTAAACTATATTTGTTGTGTACGCACGCGACAGAACTAATGCGACTGGAATGTATAGTTCTAGTTATTTTTTTTTTTCTTACGATACGTTTTGATGGCGCTGCGGGATTCGCCGCATGACACGACAAAGCGCTTTGCTGTCAAAACTAAATTACAACAGAAGAGGGCCGAAAGGCATGCATTTTTCACGCTCGCAAATAACGTGTTTACCGATGGACAGCAACATTCGAACAATATATCGTACGTACCACACGATGCAGCGTTATCCGAAAAGAATTTATTTGAGAAAGATCTCAAATAACACAGTCACAGTCGACGACAGTCACATCTTGACGATCGGACGGAATCCGAGATGACTTCGTTTTGGGGCACGTTTTGGGGAGAGCTTCCTTTTTTCGCAACCGCACCAAGGCAAAGAAACAAACGCGACTGACCCGTTTCTCACCCCAACCCGGACAACTATTTTTGGAGATGACTGAGAATTCTACGCGGATTATCTCTGGGAGGGGGGAGAACAATGTTCGCAAAATCGCGTCGAGGGTGGTTCGACGTCCTTCACCTCCTTCGTTTCCCGTGAATGTCGAGCAGAAAAGCTTGGATGGCAGGCACTTACCAGCCTTATTTCTCACAATGGAAGATAACAAAGAAAGGGTACGCAGCCCGCATAAAAAAAAATTAAGTGGAAACTTTCAAAAGGGGCGAGAAAACGTCGAATGCAAAACCGCAAAAACGTAGGTAGAGAACCGCGCTGAGCGGGTCTTCACAGTCCCAGAGAGCGGCAGAAATTTTCTAGCTGATAGAGGGCGCGAGAGTCGCACCAGCCGCATCAGCATCAGCAACATGGCGGCGGCCTAGGAGCGTTTTTTGGAAAGGTGTCACTGTTCGCAGAACTATCTACGGCGCTAAAATTCAAAAGCGCCGTGTTGGATTCGGGAACTCGTGTAGGTTTAGCTCATTGTTGGAACATTCTTATTCGCTCAATGAACTCCACAAAACGTGTAAATATTAGAATAAACTTTCCAGAGAACGATAGTTGTTGTCGGGGTTCCAGGCGACCGGACAGGTCGCAATTATTGGCTGATTAAAAATTTTATTTCATAATCACAACCGTATCATCAAGGGCACGCCATTTCCTCATCACTTCTTCTACGAAAAGAGTTGCTGTATTCGTAGCACACACAGACGGAAACGGTTGAGACTGTGCCCAAATAATATCTTCTTTTGGCAGGTACTGCGCAGCGATTACACGCAATGCCTCTAACATAAACATGCTGCTCCACATGTCTATTCAAAAGATGCAATACATCGTTCTCCCAACTTTGTTGAAATGGGCATGAAAGCGCGTATCCGTCACTTTTTTGAAGTTCTACTTAGAGGTGAAGTGTTTACCGTAAAAAGTCGTTATTTATTTTTTTCCGTTCCACTACAAACCTCGATTCACTTAAATTTTTGTTTTTATATCGTCTCTACGGTGCTTTTACGTCGGTACTTTCGTGTTAGAGGACATCACATAATGTGCGAAAAAAAAAAAACAAAAAAAAACGGTAGGATCGATGCTGCATAGCCTTTTTTTTTGTGGACATCAAGAAAAAAAAAGATAATAGTTGTCTTCACTTCGCACTGCATGTTTTGGCACGGAAGTTCCTATTTGGTTATGATGTCTTTACTTTCTTAAAAATTATATACAGTAATTTAAATTACCGAATTACAAAAACGTCGAAATTGTATAATTGCTTTTCGTTGGGACGCCATGACGACAGCGACACTCGTGTTCCCTCGTGGTTTTCGCCAGCATTTCTACGATGAATTGCCAGGATCGCGAGATGCAACAGCATGACACTCCGTCTTCTATGACGTCATTTGTTGCACTTCGGGACCACTTTTGATGTATGGCCAGCATAAGACGCTAAACACACCAGTCGGAGACGCGCTGTAGGTGCCATAGTACTGCT